CTGCGTGTTCGGCGACCATGGCGGCCGTGCCTTGCGCGGCAAGCGAGGAGATAGAGAGGGGAGAAGAGAGGGCTAGGCGAGAGAGTGGAGGCGGCGCGAGCTTGGCTAAGCCTTAAAGGCGTCGAAGCGGTAGCGCTCCTAGTCGTGTGTCTTGGAGGTGAGCTCCACGCGTCGGAACCCTTGCGTTCTGGGCGCCATCCAGCGGTGGTGTGGATCTTTGGAGGCGAAGCCATGTGGCCACGTCGAGCAGCCTCGGATCTTGTGACGGCCTTCCCATAGCGCGCGTCCACAGATCCAGAGGGTGCGCGAGCCGAGGGGAACAACGCAGGCGACCATCCTCGTGGGTAGAGCTTTTTGCAAATGCAGACCATGGGAAGTGGGCTTCGTGGACGTGTCATCTCGTAACAGGACTTCGCTAATTTGCCATTATAGAACGTGACCCACCAGCTAGAATGCCATCCGATGTACGTCTTTGGGCTCCTTTTATTCCTCTTACCGCTTTGCCCTTATCTTTTCTTTCACCGCCCTCGTGCCTAGGATGGAGCAGGTAGTCGGAGAATGGATCGGCGAGGTGCGGTGCTCTGTCCGATTCAACGCGAGCCCCACTGACAGTAGGCCCCCACGCCCCTCGCCGTCGGCTCCCACTTGTCGCCTTCCCACGCTCACTCTCCTATTCCAGGCTTCTTCTTCTTCTTCTTCAAGCCCTGATGCAGTGACCTTCCCCGATGGACTGCAGATAGAGTGACCTCATTCGGTATGATTCCTCTTTGTTTCAGTGTTTGTATTTCTCTAACTAAGTTTGGAAAGCCAATCTGGTGACCTCGCTCAATAGGCTTCTAACACTATAATTTTTCCCAATTTTTCCGGGCTCGATGAGAAGCCCGACGTTAGTGTAGATGCGATGAAGAAATTGGAGAAGAAATTGGAGATGTTGGTAGCAATAATAAGCTTCAGAGAGCGAGGAAGCATGTGATGTCCTTGGCAATTCACGGGCTATAGAATGTTATGGAGGTGTTGATTGGGACAGACTGCAGATTTCTGATATAGTTGATGAAGAGGGTGAGAGTGTGCTAGATATAATTGATGAGGATCAGTTGTTATGTCTTCTAGGTTTGAGAACTGATGATGATCAGCATGATAGACCTAGTGAGGCTAAGGCTCAAGCTGCTGCTGAGAGGGACAGCACAGCTGAAAATAGAACTGCTGACATTGATATTGACATAACTGGTGTTGCAATTCCTGTTGAAGATCATGTACTAGGGGAAAGACTCTATGCTTATGATCCTAACAAGCCTTGTATGGATATTGGCACCGTGTATCCAAATATGAAGGAGTTTAGACTGACCATGAAACAATTTGCAATAAATGAGGAGTTTGAACTTAACTTAGTCAAAACAGATAAGAAGAGGTACATTCTTGATTGCGCTAATGTTGATTGCCCATGGCATATTAATGGGCGAACACAACCTGATGGGACGATCGTGAGCTTGCTGACAAGATTAGAGAGATGATAATGACACTAGAGAACAAGAGACGTATAATTTCAGAGAGGCTTCATGGTAGGATCCTACTTGCAGTACTACAACAATTGAAAGCAAGGACTAGGGGTTTAGGAAACCTAACAGTTGTGAAGGCATGTCCTTTTGCTGCAGAGATACATGACATAACCAGCACACATAATAGGCATGTTGTCAAGTCACATTTGCATGAATGTACATGTCTTCAGTGGCAGCATACTGGAAAACCTCGTCAGCATGCCTTGGTCCTCATAACAGCATAACAAAGTATTAATGTTAAGATGGAATACTTTGTTCATGATTATTACTCAGTAGAGAGGTTCAAGAATGCTTATAAGAGACTGATAGAGCCACTTCCAGATAAGACCCAAAGGCACGAAGTTGAGCTTGACTTTGCAGTTAACGCACTATTAGGTAAAAGGCTTGCTGGAAAGCCTAGAAAACTACGAATCAAAGGATGTTTGGAGGGGGGAAGTGGTGGCATGAGCAAAAAAGATGCAAAGGATGTTGTCAATCAGATCGATAAGGATGCAAAAATAGAAGCTGAGGAAGCTGCTAAGGGAAAGAGGCAACTAATTATGGGAAAAAGGAAGTGCAAGTGATGCGGTGAATTAGGTCATGGACAAACTAGCTACAAGTGCAAGTTTAATGGGATAAAGAAAAGGTAGCATCTTTTTTTCTTCATTTTATTTAGTGACCGATTGCACCGTGCTATTTTAAATATTTGTTTAATGTTTTTCTTCGAAGGAAAAGGAAGCCTAGGAAAAATACTACTAAATATGGGCCAAATACTAAAATCCCAACGAAAAGGGCAAAGAAGCAAGATAAGGAGCCTGAAAATCCTACTGTGCAATCTGATCAAGCAACTGTGCAAGATGAAAATGCAACTGTGCAATCTGTGCAAAAGTTGAAAATGATAATACTATAGTCCCATTTGTTCCGGAAAACTCAATTGTAGTAACCAAATTACCAAACCGACCAAGAAAATAATCTTACAAGAGAGCCCAATTAGGCTAACAAGAGGGTAAAGATGCGATGATGACCATCTCTCTACTTCACGAAAGTTGCAATATTAAGTTACTTAATTTTTTTCTTTTTCGATTAAACTTGGCATTCTTGATGGGAGAAGGATCATATGGGTAGCCCTCTTGATGGGTCGTTTAGCACCACTCAAGGAACACCAAGAAAGAAGAGAACGACACCGAAGAAGTTGGTCCCAAGGAAAATGAAAAAAATTTGAGAACTTGTGTCGTCATTTGAACATGTGTGTTTGTGAACCTGTTTCTTATATGAGTCTGAGAACTTGTGTCATGTTTAAAAAGAACTTGTGCCAGCCTACTGGTGGCTCTTGTATGTGTTTTTGAACCTGAACATGTATGCTACTAGACTTGTATGTGTTTGTGAACCTGAACATGTATGCTTTTCACCCTGCGCCATTTGAACCTGTGCCAACCTACTAATGGGTCTTATGAACCCTGTGACATTTCAGAACAAAGTAGTTTTTGTCAATTGAGAACATAACATGTCATTTTCATTGAGTCATTGGCATAACTGATACATTTTGATAACAAGTACAAAAGATTCACCCACTCTTGACAATTGCATACACAAAGCTAACCAACACAAGTCTACAAACAAGAAGCAAACATTTCAGCAGCACTACAATCTCCCTAAGCTGCTTAACTTGTTCTTCCTGGTTTGATTCTCCATAGTTCAGCTTGTTTTCAATAATTGGGACTTGCTGCGTCAACTTAGTAGACTCGAAAACAGGTTGATAATCTGGAGGCACCAATTTAGTGTCAACCAAGTATTGCTCATATCCTTCTTTCCACTCCCAAAATGGACAACCAGCACCATCCTCCGTATGCCAAATAAATGAAACCAATTAAGTAAAAATCACACAAAATACATCACACGAAAATTTTGTAGCTAACTGTTCTCACCGTTCGAGTTGGACAAACATAGAACTAGCGGTCGTAGTTCTTCTCCGTCTTATTTGTAAAGACATTGAGAAACCCCAGCACTTACGGTCCTTGCAATTAAAAGAGGTAGTTCATTGTTTGAAATCCTTCTGGATTCGCGGAGGACGTCGCTGCATTGTTGTGCACCATGGTCGGCGTGGAGGCGTTCTTTGTCGCTCCAAAAGCGGCTGGGCCGGCCACCACGGCAACAAGTGACGCGCGACGCCTTCGGCGGCGGGCGTGGGGAGGCGAGTGGGCGTGCGTGAGGAGGCGGGCAGGCGTGGGGGAGTTGGCCATGGGGCTCACCGTGGGTGGGAGGATCGCCGTGGGTGCGACCTTTCGCTCGCTTGGCATCGGAGAAGAATGAACGCCCACGCTCAATTCGTTTTGCGTGCCTCCGTTCCGTCTCGGTAATGCCGCTTGGTCAAAGAAAAGATAAAGGGCAAGGCGTAAGAGGAATAAAAGGATCCTAAAGGCATTGGATGGCATTCTAGCGGGTGGATCGCGTTCTATAATGGCAAAGTCAAGCGAAGCCCCATTGCGAATGGCATATCACCGAAGCCCACTTCCATAATGGTTTATTTCAAAAAGCTCTCGTGGCATCCCACCCAAAGACGGACTTGGGCGAGAAAGAGAAATGGGATGAGTTTTTTTTGAAAAGTTGGCATGACCACAGCGTCCAAGCTGCCAAAGTGGCACGACCACGATCGATGTCTTGATGTTGGCGTAGCTGGTTTTGGGCCATTGATGCACCGAGGCAGTGGTTTAGGGACTCGAGATAGTCGTTTTTTAGTTCAAGGACCTAGGTGGAAAGACCCCAAAAGTTTGAGGACCTGGATGCATTTTGCTCTATATTATATATGATTTAGCTATAGAGCCTGCTTGGATCCCTCCGGCTAACAGTTAGCAGCTTAAGTTTTAGCCGGATAGAATCTAGATGGACCATATCAAACTAACCATTATTTCACTAGTCAAGAAAGCGAACTATCAAGAGCTAAAAGTGGCGGAGAAAAGATGTGTTCTGTCCTCCATCTCTCTCACACGCCGCAGATGGGAGACGAGGCATCACGATCCTCGCAGTGCTCGGGGAACAAATGGAGGTGGTGGCCTTGCGGAAGCCGCTGTCGATTCGCGCCTTCGCTCTTACCTCTGCTTGAACTCCCTGTGTTGCTACACCTTCTTCCTCATCGGCAGCAGATTGAAGGTTGTGGACAAGACCCGCTGGGATTGTGGACGATCTGACGAAGCTGGATCCCAGTGTCGCCTCGCCAATGGATCTGACGAAGCTGGTTTGCTTGCGGATCCCACCTCTCGCCTCGCCGTTTCAAATTATAAGTTGTTTTTTTTTCTAAATACATAGTTTTTATTATATATCTAGACATAGTATAAATTTACATGCATAAAACGGCTTACGATCTGAAATAGAGGGAATACATGATTGAAATATTTTATCACGTCGCTTGGAATCATACATGAATCTAACGAAACATATAAACCAACGATCTTCCTTGCCGGTTTGAATCTAAACGTTCTTGCGCTTGTACCGCCTTGCGCAGCACACGAAAACCGCCAGGTTGAGCGAGCCGAGTGCCGCGAGGAGCCAGAAGAAGCGATCTAGGTGGCCTTTGTTAAGGTCATCATCGGGTATCCACCCGGTCTTGCCGCCCCTCGTCGTGACACACACCACCGTGGTCACCACGAGCGAGCTCAGGTAGCTCCAGAGCGCCACGGTCAGCAGGCTCAGCGCCGAGCACAGGCTCCGCATCGACGCCGGAGCCTCGTTGTAGAAGAACTCCGCCTGCCCAACGCATGCGAACACGACGCTGGCGGCCACCAGGAAGTACTGCGGCACCTGCCAAAGGATGCTCATCGACGCCTGGCCCTCTCCGTGCGCGCTCGCCAGGCGCCGCGTCTCGACCAGCGCTGCGGTCACCATCACCGCGATCGACAGGAGCAGTCCGGTGCCAAAGCGCTGCAGCTCCGAGATCCCCCGAGCATTGCCGGTGAGGCGTCTGGCTGTCGGGACGACGACCCGGTCGTAGACAGGGACCCAGATGAGGACGCTGACGGCGTTGAACGACGCCGGCGGGATGCCGAACGCACCGATGTGCTTGTTCATTGTCCTTCCTTGCTCCAGGAATGTCGAGGAGAACTGTGCCATGACGGCGAAGAACACGATCCCGTTGGCCCAGATGGGCAGCATCCCGATGATCACCTTCAGCTCTTCTACTTGCGTCACTGTGCAGAGCCTCCATAGATCAGAGCCAGACAACTCTTCAGTTGATGAGACGACCACTGCAGCCTTATCAAGAAATCTACGCAAAGAAATTGCCTTCCAGGTCAGAGAAACATGGGGCCTATGGAAGGAGTGTACACTGTATCGAGGCAACTACTGTACCTAAGAACTGGTGTGTGCTGCAGATTATGCCATTATGGCCGTCTGCCACTGGCGTCTTCTGAGGTAGCTCGTGGAGAAGAGAATCACCTTGCGGCAAGCCTACATTCCATTTGCGAATAGCTGCAACTATGACTTGAAAACTCTTACAATTGGACTCCCCAAAGGCTTTTGGACCCTGTACTTATTGGAGCCCATCAAGAAGCTTGCAATGGCCAACGCGATGAACAACGTTGGGAGCCAGAGGCCAACCGCCCACCCGTAATGATGTTGCACCCACACAACACCGGTGCCTGCGATAAAGCTGCCAATGTTGATGGCGAAGAAGAACCAATTAAAGAAGGAATTCTTTTTTAGCCTCTCAGCTGGGCTGCTGTCATCGAATTGATCTGCGCCGAGTGATGAAACGCAGGGCTTGATGCCACCAGCTCCTATGGCCATCATGTAGTAGAGGCCAAGGAAGAACACAGCGGACTGAGATGGACCATGCACCTTCAGGAACGACGCTGAAAAAGACATTGCAGCCATCCCCTGTCAACACGAAAACGAACTGGTTAGGTGTGTTTGGTAGGTCTACCAATGGGTGCGGCTTGTGTGCTTACAAGCAGATAGACTGTGAAGAAAGCTACTGTAGTCAGGTATCTGCCCAGACAAGAATCTGCTATTATAGCTCCAGCTAGCGGGGCGATGCAGCACGTCCCCTGCCAATTCGTATAGTTTCTTGCCGCCACAACATTGCTTTCGTGCAGCACCGTCTTGAGAAATGCCACCAAGTTGAACTGGATTCCATAGTATGCCAGCTCCTCAAATCATAGGTTCACTGCAAATTGTAGGAGAACACAAAAGGATGTTGTTCATGGGAGAACGTATCAGAGGTCTGAATAGAAAGCTGGAACAAGCGAATTGAAGCTGCAAAGCCTCAGCGTTTTGAGCAATCTCTTGTTTTAGAGATGTTTGAGATTTCATAATTTGTGATCACCTAAGATGTAACTGCATGCTCTCCAACTGTCGGTATGGTCTTTTGTTCGCTCGGTGCCAGTCATCCTTTCGCTTATATGTTCCATTGAATTCTGCAATAACAAATACCAAATTCCTTTTATTAGTATGCTATGTACAAATACTAGATGACTGGGCCTAGAATTAGAACTTAAATATGTGCACCTTCATCTTCAAAAATAGTTTGTAAGGCCAAATGGAAACAGAAATAAGTTTATCACTAAGCAAAAAGTGAAACAAAGAACGATGGATTGTAAGCCTGGAGACCAAATTGTCGGCAGATATAGAAGAACTAACAGTTTTTCTCCCCTTGCTTCTTAATTCGAAAGACAGAGGTCCTGCCATTTGCTTAAGAAAAATTACAAGAACTAGCAGGGGGGTTCAAATCTCTACCTCAGGAACTTGCTCTTGAATCTCTATATCCATGGCAACTCGAATCTCAGTCCGAACTCTAGAGAGTGTAACATACCACCGATTAGGAAGGTTCACACCTCAAGTAGGAGGCCGTGGACCCCCTTTCGTGGCTTACCTGGTTCTGCATCTTGCGAGGTGTACATCTGTTATGACCATGAGGGACTCTTAGAGATATAGTCCAACGGCCGCCTATAGATGTGCTATACAAGTACATCTCTAAGTCAGGCCTATCTCTAACTATATGTCCAACAGCCCCCTTTTGCAGTTTTATTCCCCAAAGAGATATTCCCTCCATGCCAAATTATATGATGTTTTGACTTTTTTAGATATATTGTTTTTATATATATCTAGACATATTGTATATCTAAGTATAAAGGACGTACCCAGTGCAGAGAGCTCCCGCTCTGTGATTGTATATCTAAGTATATAACATATATTAGTGAATGATGTAGTTTGCTAATGTAATTAGCTTGAATGAAGATATAACTGCATGTGTGCTAGTGGGTGCTGATGTGGACAACTTGTATGGCGAAATAGAATGCTAGTGGGGATTGAAAATATAAGATATATAGATATAGATTTCATTGAGTGCCTATTTTTGATACAAAGCAAAGCTTGACTTGAGGATGGCAAATATAGTTTGAAGGGTTAAGTAAGGATTTAGCCTCAAGGAAGTAAGTGAAGGTGAAGGGCAAGCGGCGGCTTGGAAACAAGGAACAAAGACTAGGATGAAGAAGCAAGTGCTTTTGTTAAGACCAATGAACTAATCATGCCATGAGGAGTTATGCAATGTGAAGTATCAAATATTGTTGGATCATAAGTTGAAGTGACTTGAAATAAATTGATCTTTTATGAGTTAGAATAGTTGATGTCATAAGCTCAAGGTGGATTTGCTCAAAGGATTGAGACAAGAGTGGTTGCAAATCCTTATGAAGATATATTCAAAAGAGACGGCATATGAATACATTGAAAACTCAAGTGTTTAAAATAGACATTTCCTTTTAATCTTGAGTGTAGGTATGCCATATTATTAAGGGATGCAACTTCAATTGATCAACAAGTCTCAAGTGCTCAAACTAACTGAACACCAAGTGTTAGGGTCCGTTTGGTTTGGCTTTCTAGGTGCTTGTGGCTTCCAAAAAAGCCGAGAAAGCCAAACCAAAGGGGGTACCATACTCCTTGGCTTCCAGAGAAAGCTGCTTTTGTGCAGCTTATTTTCACAGCAGGGGAGGAGGTGCTTTCTTGAGCTTTGGCTTTCACAAGTTGGAAGAAATTACCCACTGCCACGGGTTATGTTGTACCGGTTCGCTTCTTTTCTTTTTTTGTCTCCCTCACCTGCCGCTCTCCCCCCCAAGACTGTTCCTCCTCCTCCTCCCATGGCGCCCCTCCTCCTCCTCCGACGGCGGCGCCCCTCCTCCTCCGGCGGCGGCGCCCCCTCTCTGCGGTGCCCCTCCTCCCTTCTCCTATCGAGCACGAGGTCATCTTTTTCTCGCTACTGCCCGCCATGGGTAGAGGCCAGAGCTCAGGAGCTCCCCGGTCTAGGGCCTCGGGCTACTAGGGACCAAGGGGAAGGTAGGAGGAGCAAGGGAGGCGCGGGCATCCCGTTCTGGTGGTTGGGGAAGGGAGAGGGAAGGGTGAGGCGCGGCCACTGGGGTCAGTGGCGCCGCACCGCCTCGGTCTGAGTGTCTTTGCTCCGTGAGAGGAGGAAGGAGGAGGGGTCAAGGGTGAGATGGGGTGGAGGTGCGTGAGGCGAGGAGCTCGGCCTCGCGGTTGCGGCGCTCGACCTCGCGCTCCATGGAGGAGAGCACCTCCTTGGTCTAGCCCACGACCCAAAGTCTGCTGGAAGAAGAAGAAGATAATGACGAGTGGGGTCCACGTGTCGGTGAGAGAGGAAGAGAGTTCAGGTGGGGTGGACCGTGAATGACATGTGGGTCCGCTTCAAGTGTTTTAAAAAGCCACAGCTTGTTTCACCAAACGGCTTTTGACTTTTCTCATGACCTGACTCACAAAGCAGCTTTTTCCACAGCCCACAGCTACTTTTGCAAAAGCCACAGCTCAACCAAACACACCCTTAATATGAGAGAAAGACATGCCACAACACTTTCACTTGTTGGTATTTGAGCTTGTTTTCAGTTGGAATGGTTAGCCCTCTATAATTTTTTTTGTAGAGTCTAAGATTAGCGCAATCGGAGTTCAAAGCTTAAAGTTGTGGTGTTTTTGTGAGGTGACCTGGGTTGTTGGTTGAGCTGTGGAGGTTCCGCATATTTCTAGTCCAACGGCTAGTTTTCGAGTTCCAAATACTAGTTTATGTTCAAGTGTGAAAGTTCTAGACTTTAACTAATTTTTCAGGTAGTTCTTATAATCAGTGGAGTATATATAACCCCTCCCCGTCCTCATTTGGAGGGGTTGATGCTACCTCCCCATGCCCCCAAACTGAACCAAAAGCCTTGTGAGCTCTCACCAACACTTCTTTGTGGGGTTTGTAAGATTTGAGTTGTGTTGAAAGTTTGGGTGATTGTGTGTACAAGTGAGCAATCCAAATCCTTGAGCACTTGCAGATTCGTCAATTGCTCATGAAACATTTGTCACTCTTGAAGGTGGGACATCCTAGACGGCTTGCGTCATGCAACGAGCTCCCATGCTTTTGTTAAGTCGTAAAAAAGTTTGTGAAGGCTCCAATCTCACCACTACAATGAAAGAGATGAAAATAGTGGATGGATAGAAGTATTTGAAAGAAAACTAGTTTATGCTTGACCCTTAGATCGCTGGGAGCTTCCTCAACAGAAACATAGGTCCTTGAAAGGAGCCAAACCTTGGGAAACAAATCCTTGTATCTTGACTTCACAACAAATGCACACCTAAACCATTGAGTCAACGTTCAGTCAAAATTTCATACAAAATTAAGACTTTACGAGAAAACCTGCCGCGGCGTTGCCACGCCTTTGTAGGCCTTTTGCTTGAATATACTACCAATAGGTTTTCCTACCTTTGGTTTACTACCTATACACACTGTTATTGTCGCCGATGTTGATGAAAGAAATAATTAAAGTTGTTAACTAACTTGTTTCACATAAGAACATAAGATACTTTGCCATGACCTTGCTGGAGAAAACCAGCCCATGGGTACTTTGTTGGTTTGCAAATGGGCTGCTAAGTGCTAACGTCAAATTTTGTTCCCATGAGAATATAACAGGCCATGGGCTATCAAAGCATTGGTATTATTGACCGATGGACATGTTATGATCTCTCATTGGATTGTACTACCAAGTACTGAAGAGATGAATTGTAATAGATTGGGTCAAGATAAGCAGGAAACGAGCATTTTGCACTAAAGTCGTCATTGATCTCTAATACCCATACTGGTGACAGCATGAGTTATATGTAATGTTATAAAAAAAACAATCTTAATATTCTAGTCGGTTGTGCTGGAAAGATATCTTGCATGTTTTCAGTGATCGACTCGTAATCTCCAAGTTGTCCATTTTGTTTTCACTATCTGCGAGATTTTTCTTTCAGGCTGATGCAAACATCATTATTTTTAGCTTTAGATGTACACTCCAATTCAACTAAGCCCTCAAACTGTTTGATGAGGAAACTATGCATTTTGCAAAAGTAAAATAAACATTAGCTACATGATTTGTTAAAGAAAAGGTAACGTAAGCTTTTTTTTACTTTATCATACTATGTCAATTGAATATAGTCTTTCTGTTGTAAATTTAATCCATTTCTTCTTTCTGCAGTATATATGTCCTGTTTCAAAGAAATTAACAGGACAAGAGACTCGGTTTATAATGTTGTGCAATAATCATGTATGTTAGTATGTATTAGTTATTAAAGGTTAAGCTCGATCAGTAGGAATATCATAAAATGAAATCAAGTTCCATTTTTTTAGGAACTGATATTAGATCAACAAATTTGGCATTGTGGCTTCTACCGTTCTACACATTTTTAAATCATTCCGGGAAACAGAATTGGAGGAAGTTGATGATGGTGTACCTTAACCTTGTTGCACATCGATGGAGAACGCTTGCCTGGCCAGAGCGTAAGCGAAGAAAACCTGGCGAATGGGGAGGAGACGATGCAGGTCTCCCCGCCGATGTAGCTCAGCACAATATTATTGTCGCTGGAAGCACCTACCCACCGCCGGTGCTCCTTATACTGTACGTACTGCTCAGCCTTTTTTTTTCCCCAGAGATTTTCGTGGTCCTGCTTCCTGGGCTCCACCTCACCTTGAGTAGTGGCTTCATCCGCTGAATGGGCCGTGGGACGCTAGGGTAAGCAGGGTTGACGCTACTTCATTCCAGCTAGTGTGGTACGCAACAGGGAGGGGAAGGGACAAGAGGACTAGAGGAGCAGCAGGAGGTGAGGAGCGACTGGGAGGCAGCGGCGAGAGAAGGCGACGAGCTGTCAGCACCCCATGCCCAACACTGGCCGGCCGGTCAGCCTGGGCATTTTTTTACCGGAAACCGAAAACCGAACCGAACCGAACCGAAACCGAACCGAATAGTCGGTAGTTCGGTTTTTCGGTTCGGTTTCGGTTTTCAGTTCTGTGAAGTTCGGTGTTCGGCTTCGGTTTCGGTTTCTACGACATACCGAACCGAAGTACCGAAAAACCGAACTAAAAGTGTGCTGTAACCTGTTTTTTTCCTGTTGTACCAAGAAACCGAACTAAATACCGAAAAACCAAACTTAAAATGTGTTGTAACCTGTTTTTTTTTCCTGTTGTACCGAGAAACCGAACTAAAAAACCGAAGTTTGTACTGTCAATTGTAAATCTTGTCTGATATTTTTTTGCATCGGTTTATTCGGTTTTAACCGAAAAACCGAACTAAAAAACCGAACCGAAATTGGTCGGTTTTTGAAATTTTAGCAAACCGATCGGGGGTCATTTTCTGGAAACCGAATTTTTGAAAAACCGAACAAACCGAACCGAACCGTCGGTAAAAACCGAACGCCCAGGCTGACCGGCCGGCGTCTGGCCGGTCGTCCACCATGGGCCCCCAGGCGGCATGCTGTCAGGAGCTGGGCCGCTGGATGGGCTCCCAAGCTGGGCCGGGACAGGAGAGACAGAATAAAGACCAGAGCAGCCATCGGGGAGAGGATCGAACAAGAACCGGAACCGTCTTCCTCTCCAAATTTTTTTATTTTTTAGCTTTTTTTAAAAAAAAATCACAAATATGCTGGTGAAGGTATGATTTCAAAATTTTGACTCTTAGCTCGGCCCACACTGACGCCAAGCTTACACTGCTCGGCGTCATCGTTGCTGGCGTCGAGCTCAGGGCCACGCTGACGCCATGGACATTAACATACAGCCAGCTCGGCGCCGTGGATCTTGGCGCCGATCTCGGCGCCAACAATCCTAGCGCCAAGCCCTCTTACACAGGCCATGGGGCCTGAATTTTTTACTTTTTAGCTATTTTTTTGAAAGTTTTTCATAAATACACTTTTGAAGGAAAGATTTTAGAATCTAGATCTTTAGCTCGACGCTATCAATGCTAGCGCCGAGCTAACACGTCTCGACGTCAGCGTCTCTTACGTTGAGATCTTAGGCTCGACACTGATGTTGTACTGATTTGATAGGTAGCTCGTCGTAGATGCTGGCGTCGAGCTCTGGCCACTTGCTCATCACGCGCACTGCACGTTGTCTTTGGCAGCTCCCAGGTTGCCGCACTAGAAAACTGACTGGCCAGTAGTGACGTGTACTAAAACCTGACAGTGACTACAGCGACGTAGGAGCGCAGCGCAGTGCAGTGCAGCGCAGACAGCGACGTGGCGTGCGGGTGAGCGCTGCGCACACTCACTCACCCGGACAAAAGCAGCCCCGACGGCGACGTGGGGCCGTCGTGATCGTGAGACGAGTGGAAGAGAAATCCCGGCGGTGTCTCGGTGGCACAGGAGTGCACGCAACTCGCTCCGATCCTGATCCTCCTGTAGCTGTCACTGTGGGTGTTACACTGCTACTCCCTGTGCATACCAGACCAGTCAGTGTAGCAGACACTGCTCACTGCTGTGCGGTTAATCCTTATCTTCAGAACTCTATCTGAACTCCAAGAGACGAGATTAAGACCAAATTAATAACAAATTTTGAGAAAATCTCTTGAAAAAGCAGAAACCTAGTTTATTGCTAGAAATCAATGAAAATAGTAAATTCTTCCTCTGTTTTATTATAATAACTTTTAGGTGGATGAAATTGTATGACTTGAAAAGTTATCCATATGGTTCCCAAAACAACAAAAAGAATAGTTATCCATATGCACTAGCAGGAACCTCTAGCAACCACTGGAAAGGAACCGCTGAAAAAGAGGTTTCTGGACCAGGACCTCTTGGTTATACGGCTATAGTTTATTACTTGGTAATAAATGTAAAAATGCGAACTATATATCTCAAATCAGTTCCAGTTTCATGATATGGAATTATGAAACCTCACCTTCCCCGTTGTATCTTTTTCAAAGGATGTAAGCACAGTTCCTTTAACAAAGGTGACCCCTTTTGAGGTGTAGTAGTTT